GCACCCCCCTTGCTAAGCAAATAGAACCAATTCCAACCCCCACCGACCCCTAGTACCCAGCCTTCAATCAAGCTGCTGGCGCGGACTCAAATCCTACCCATCTGTCAAAGCCCTGCGCAGCACCACCTCTGAGTCCTTCAGAGTTCCTCCTTCCCCCTTCCTGAGCGCTCCCTCCCCCTCCCATAGGTAACAGAACACCAGCTCTGGAGCAGAATGCTGGGTTCCACTGCAGCTCCCTCACTGCGAGCTGTGTGGCCTCGTTGCTGCAGTGTCCCCATCTGCAAATGGAAATAGTAACAGTGCCTTACTCATGGTATTACTGTGAAGTTTAAAGGACTGCAGATATATAAAGCGCCTACCTCAGTCTCTGGCACATATTAATACAATACTGAACTTTTTTAAAAAGCAAAAGCCTTTATTATTATCACTACTTACTTCATTTATCTGTCCAATCTTGTGCCACTATTTTCTTTCTTATCTGACTTAGGTACCTATATTAGCTCCCTTACTACTCTGAACATCCTGGCAAATGCTTAGTTTGCTACCTACAGACAGTCACTATTAGGCCACTGAATGAATGAATGAATGAATGAATTCTAAATGGTCATACTTACCCTTCTATATAATAAAAGCCTAATATGCAAATTGTTCCCAGGACCGGGAGTTTGAACAGGGGGCGGCGGTGGCAGGAGGCCGTGGGAAAGGAGGCCCCCCCAGGCAGCAGGGGTAGCCGGCAGCCAGGGGAAGGGAGATGCTCTGGCTGGCAGCCAGCAGCTGCTAAGGACCCTACCCGTGCATGAATTTTGTGCACTGAGCCTCTAGTCTTCCACAAGATCCACCTTTAATGTTTAAGATAAAAAAAGATATTAGAGAAGTAGAACTTTCCGTGTAGAGCAATATTCTCAAAGTGTGCTGCCTGGACCAGCAGCAGCAGCAGCACCTGGGAACTTGTTAGAATGCTAGGCCCCAGCTACTGAATCAGAAACTCTGAGAGTGGAGTCCAGCAACTGTTTGAACAAGGCTTCCAGGTGATTCTGATGAGCCTGAGTCCGGGATCTGTAGAGCCAAAAGCAACGTGGAATCACAGGATGAGCACTAGATCAGGAGTGGATTCTGGGTTTGCCTGTCATTGACCTTGCACAAGTCATTAACCTCACAACTTCCTTATAAGCAATAGAGGGACAATAGCACTCAAACAATTAAATGTTGTGAAGACTAAATGAGATCCCATGAGCAGAGTTTGCATATAATTATAAGCTCCTTTCAGTTTCCTTCCTGTGTCTCTCACAGGGTTGTAAAGACTAAAAAAAATTACTGCAGTAAGAGTTCTGCGCACTGCCAAAGGTCATAGCAACCTGAGCAAGAACTAGTCATTCTTGGTACAAACAGCCACGCTAGCATCAAACGCCTAGCGTTCGTGGGGCACTAGGAAGCGGGTTCTGTCCACCCCCCCCACCACCCAATTTACAAGCATAACCCTGCAGCAGAGTATCTCCTTACAGGCTCATCAAAGCAGAACTATGGAGACAACAGATGGTCCTTCTCTCACCCCCAATATTCTGGTCAGAATCACTCTTCTTTTCATGCAAATGAATCCAAGTCTTGGGAAAAGATTATCTAAAAACGTTTTCAGCCACAAGAAAAACCGCCAACACTTTTAGAGCACATGGACCGCCTGGCTTAGGGAACCCCCGACCTATCACATCCAACTCCCAGTGGTTGGTCGTGGAGGGTTGGGATTAAGACAGTCACGCCTTGAAGCTTGTTTCAGAAGAGAAAAGGTGGAAATAAAAGTAAGTAATCTTTCTTTCTCCATACTTAGTCTCTTACACCACTGCTGGCTCTCTCTCTGAAGCGCACATCCTACTCGGGGACCACCTTCCAGAATGAAGAGTAGGTTGAATGCAAGAAATGCAGGCTGTGCATGTCAGACTGTGGGCTTAGCTGCTGCTCGAGATGGGCAGACTATGTGCTCAACCAAACAGCACCAGGTTAGAATGTCCGCATGAGGCCAGGCATGAGACAGAGTAATAATTACTCTGCGGACTCTGCTACTATGAGCCTAATGCTTTGCAGCTCCGGAACACCTTTGGCGGCATATCACCGCTACTGAAGGGTCCCTGAGAGCAGCTTTTTAATATTTCTATCCCAGAGCCTGGCACCCAACAGGCACTCAAGAAGCCTACTGAACTGGACTGATGAACTTAGGTGTGAGCCCCATGGAGCGGTTGAGAGGTAGTCTTTAAAAGTGGGGAAAATGAGTGCAGAGAGACTAAAAGTGGAAGTTAGTTAAAGAATGTAGTCTTTGGTGTCACCCACCCAGAACGGGGCTTCATACTAGCCCAAACCCGACTTGCCTCTACTCCCCACAGCCACCTCTGTTCCACTCAGACTGGTGCTCACAGATGTGCCCACACCTTCTCCCCACCCCCACCCCCAATTTACCTGTCTCCAGGCACAGGGCATCCTCTTCTTTGCCTCTGGAATCCCCACCCACGCTCATGAACAGTCCTCAGACCCAAGGAAACCAGTCCCATCACCCTGGCTCTTCTGAATTCTTTTGGACTCCTAACAGCACCGACAAACCCACTACAAGACTGAGTGCTTAGCCATGGAGTGGCTTTCTCTCAGTCGTCACTGTTCCATGCACCTCGTCCTCCCTCCCGATACCATAAACCCCCAGGACCAGGCAGCTGCGAAACCCCAGCCCCCCCCTCTTGCCAGCCAGTCAGTTCCTTCACTCCTCTGAGCCTCAGTGTCCCCTCTCTGATGTGGAAAGATAACAGCATCTTCACAAAGCAGCTGTGAGGAGCACAGAATGGCTGGAGGATTGCTTTGTGTACCCCATAGCTGCTGCTTTAATCATGAGCTTTGTTGTTTTATTTCCACATTCCCCTCCCTCCCAACCTCCTGGGGCATATTTTAAAAGAATACTAACGATACTAAATGTCCTGAAAACCACTTTTACACTCTGTCACCACGCACAGAATATACAGCAGAACCGAACTGAACTGTGAGATTCCATAGGAATTGCCAGGTGACTGACTAGCAAGCAGGAGGCTTCACTCTGCGGTCAGGTATGGTTTTTAAGTGATGGGGCCTGCAAGGGTACTTCCTCACCGGTCACAGAGGGGCCAGCTGTCCCACATAGCCTCTCAACCTAACTGTATTATTAACAGTGACAGCTACAATTTATTGAACCTCTACTATGTTCCAGGCACTAAACTGTTTTACAGCCATCAGTTCACTTAAACTTCAGGGCTCTGTGAGTACAAATCTCTCTCTCCCCCTCCCTCTCTCTCAGTACACTAAGGCTCAGAAGGGTTACACAATTTTCTGGGGCCCCACAGCCAACAAACGGACAAGGCAAAATTCAAAAGCCCCGTCCTCCTGACACAGCACCATGTCCTTTCCATTGGATCTGTATCCCTACATCCCTTATATTTGCATATTTTAAATCCCCTTTAATTTCTACCTCTCAGCTGCCTTGGCGTTTCACAGGTACAGCTTCCTATTGTAAAGGAAATAGAAAAGAAAGGACATGCCCTCCCCCAAGCTTACTGGCTCCCTCCAGTAACTGGCTGGAGTTCAACACCCAACGGAGAAAACGTGTCTGGAACATGGCTGCAGTGACAGAGCACCCGGGGAAGGGAAGAGGGGCCACGGGTGACGAGGGTGAGACTCTAGGGACACGTAGTGTGTAAAGGTGAGAAAAGACTTTCCAACACCCAGGGACCCTCACCCCTTATCCAAGATGTTACAACACAAAGGCAAGAAAGGTTCCCAAATGCCAGTCAGCCAACGGGGGAGGCCTCCCCAAAGGCTGAAAAGTAGGCTGGACGTTCTCCATTAGAGCGAGAAATGAGTGAGCACGGCGGCCTGGGCCAGCCAGGCCTAGGGATTCCCAAGGGAAAGACCCTTGACCACCTTCCGCCAACAGGCCGAGCCCGGCTTTAAAGGCAGCTCATCTACATTCCTGGCCGGGCACCTGGCATCGCTCCTGCCTCGGTGAAAAGGCCAACTTGCTTTGTCGTGAGGAACCCCAGCCGGTGGCCGGTTTTCCTTCGCCAGCCCTGGGCCCTCCTTACCAGGCGGCGGGCCCTCGGGCGCCCCTCCCCCGTGGCGCAGGCGGCCTCTCCTGGCCGAGCAGGCCGGCCGAGCACCCCTCTGCACACGGCACCCGAAGATCGCAGCTCCGGCAAGTGTCCCACTGCAGGGAGCAGCAGTCAACACGCAGAGAGGACCACGGGGGATCAAAGCGTTAGGATTTGAAAGCACCTCCATCTCCCCTCCACGCACCTCACCTGACAGACAGGGCAAACGTCAAAGCAGAAAGGGCAGTGACTTGCACAAGGTCACAGGGAGCGTCCAGGGCTCTAACCATTAAACGCACGGCCTCCCTCCTTTCCCGAGGCCGCGGGCCCGCCGCCGCCCCCTGCCCGGGGAACCACCCTCCGGGAACCCCGTCCCCTCTTCCCACACCCCACCCCTCGGCCCTCGGGCAGCTGGCTGAGTGGCAGTCTCATCAGCAAGTCTGGAGCAGGCCACAGTCTCGGGAGGGTGCCCAGAGGAGGGGGGCTGGGGCTGGAGAGGAGGGACAGGGGCGAAGGGAGAGGGTGTGAGGAAGCGGG